GGTATTTGATGGGCATGGTGGGCTGAAGCAGCTGCATATATCAAGAGGAATGCTATTAGATTGTTCTTTGAAGATGCTGATTTGCCACAGACATTTGATATTGATGCTGTCTTCTTGAAAGAGCTGGAGAATTCTCACAGGAAAGCATTTTTACTAGCAGACCTTGCTTTGGCCGATGAAAGCAGTGTCAGAAGTTCATGTGGGACAACCGCACTTACTGCTTTAGTACTTGGAAGGCACTTACTTATTGCAAATGCTGGTGACTGCCGTGCAGTTCTTAGCAGGAAAGGAGCTGCAGTTGAGATGTCTCAAGATCACAGACCTAGCTATCTTCCAGAGCGCAAGCGAGTTGAGGAGTTAGGGGGCTACGTAGATGATGGCTATCTTAATGGTTCTCTCTCAGTCACAAGGTCCCTTGGAGACTGGGAGTTGAAGCTCCCACTTGGATCATCATCGCCTCTCATTGCAGACCCAGATGTCCAACAGATTATTCTAACAAAGGATGATGAATTCTTGATACTTGGGTGTGATGGGATATGGGATGTAATCTCGAGCCAGTGTGCTGTCAGCCTTGTTCGACGTGGATTAAGGAGGCATAATGACCCCCAACAATGTGCAAGGGATCTTGTCATGGAGGCCACAAGACTAAACTCGTCAGATAATCTTACTGCTATTGTTATCTGCTTCTCCTCCCCTCCTCCGCTTGAATCGTGCCCTTCTCACCGAAGAAGGTTTAAGCTCAGCTGTCTGACTGATGAAGCCCGAAATAGATTGAAGAACTTGTTAGAAGGAAACTGATGTACACACAGCTTGTTTCTCACTAGTAACTGAAATAGTTGTTATGAGAAATGATTATTATCTGTTTCTTTGGGCAGCTTCAGATAGGTTAGAAGAGCAGCTGGAAATTTTGTAGTTGTAGGGGTTAAAGATGAGATAGAGAAGAATGTTTTGGGTAGTTGAGGCAGATGTAAGTACTGTGCGAGATTATTTGAATTCCAATGGATTTTGTTCATTGCAATTCCAACCTGTTTCTTTATGTAGCTTCATATAGTTTCTGCATATGAAGTTGCAATCTGGGATGAAGTAGTGTGATTTGATTGATGACTTCCATCTGCCTTTTGCCAAAGTTGCAATTGCAACACCTGTAAACTTAACTATTGAACAATTTATACTAATTGAATACCCTTAGGCTATACATATGATGGTATCAAAATAAGACTTTCAAACTTCAAAGTTTTTCACTTTTTAGTATAATGTAAAATATATGTTTTTGTATTAGGTAAGAGTTAGAATTTTTTATATGTTATTTGTGTGATAGATAAGAGTTTGAAGTTTTTATTTTTTCTCTCTGTAGAAGTGGAGAAATACTCAGGGGTGAAAATGATTTCCTTGTCGATATTTCTTCTGGGTTTTGTGCCTGCTTGGATTTGGAATTTGGTGAGAGAAATATCCAGAGCAGAAGGTATATGTATTGTTTGGCTGGTTTTGTTTCAGCCAAGTGACAACTCCAGATAATGATCTCATCATCTTAGCAACAAGGCCATCTGGCCACCACCAAAAATTCTTTTAAGAGAGAATTTGTAAGGCCACCATTTCATATTTGTCTATCTCCATTTTCAATTATAATATATCCCAAATTCTTCTGATTCTTCCTCCTACCTACCTACCTAAACCTAAATAATGCTAAATGTCCAATCAGAATTTGCAGAGCCATTATCAGAAAGATCTTGGCCAATGATATCATGCCACTTGTTACAGTCTTGTAATATTAATATCACTAAAAAAAACAAAGTAAAAATCTAATAAAGAGAGAAAAATCTAGTAATTGGAGAAGAGAATACCAGTAAATAAAGCAACAGTGAGTGGAACTTTCTAAATTGTATTTTGAAGAGTATTATCAAGTCAGCAATGACAATTTCAGAAGGGTAAAGAAGTCAAATAATCATGTTGATCATCTGCAAATGAGTTTATATCTATATCCTACACTTTACCACACTAGATTTTACTGCCTTTCGAACAGAAAATCAAATAATATAATCTTAATAATAATAATAACAATACACAAATTAAGGTTGAAAGAATAAAAGTTCATTTTCTTCTCCAAATATTTCTCAAAAGCCGCAGCCTCTTCTGCACCAGCCTCTCTGTATCTTCTGAGGGAAAACGCAACAGGGGAAAATGGCAATGGCAAGCTTAGCAAGGAGAAAAGCCTACCTGCTTACGAGAAACCTCTCGAATTCTCCAACTGATGCTCTCAGGTACTCTTTATCCCTCACCAGCTTCTCTCGAGGCTTCGCTTCATCGGGATCTGAGGAGAACGACGTCGTCGTCATCGGCGGTGGACCCGGTGGTTACGTGGCCGCCATCAAAGCCGCCCAGCTCGGTCTCAAGACCACCTGTATCGAGAAACGTGGCACCCTCGGAGGCACTTGTCTCAACGTGGGATGCATCCCTTCGAAGGTAATGCTCTCGTTCAAAGTTTCCGAATTTTTTGGTTGGTGTAGTCGAATCTTCGACGTAGATCATTGGGATCTGATGATTATGATAGTTGATTGTTGTTATGTTGGTTTTCGCTTATCTTTCTTCTTCACCAATTAAAATGAGATACTGTGGGAAATTTTTGGATTGATTTTTGACGTGATTTATTTGCGAATGTGATTATGTTGATGCGAGTGATCTTTCTCTGGCTTCTGGTTGCTAGTAATTAGAGAAATAATAGAGTAGCATATGAGGATCGAGTCTAATTGGATTTTGGTAACTGTTAGTGGTTAAGCTTATTATATATCATATGCTTTTCCTCTTCGCCACTTATTACTAAATTTAATGGCTTCTAAACTTGGAGGCAGAAAGTTATGTGGAATGAGCATATCACTTATCAACTAGTCGTAGCTGATGCAAATTTTTCTTGAAAGAGAGCAGTTATTTTCATTTTCCCGCGGGCTTTTTCCAGTTATCTTCATGTTTTGGTCCTGATTTCTTGATGAAGTTGGGTTTTTTTTTTTTTAAACAATGATTAAGCAGGGTTTATTTTGTTAATTTTCTAACTCCTGTACCCTAGTTTATTGATCATGTTGGAAATATATCATTTTTCTGTTTTGTTGATGTTTAGGCTCTTCTTCATTCTTCCCACATGTACCATGAAGCCAAACATTCCTTTGCTAGCCACGGTGTGAAATTTTCTTCTGTGGAGGTAGATTTGCCTGCAATGTTGGCTCAAAAAGATAAAGCTGTTTCTAATCTCACCCGAGGTATTGAAGGTCTATTTAAGAAGAATAAAGTTAACTATGTCAAAGGCTATGGAAAGTTCATCTCCCCATCAGAAGTTTCTGTTGAGACCCTTGAAGGGGAGAATACTGTTGTGAAAGGCAAAAATATCATAATTGCTACTGGTTCTGATGTTAAATCTTTGCCTGGTATCACCATTGATGAAAAGAGAATTGTTTCGTCAACTGGAGCTCTGTCTTTGTCTGAAGTCCCGAAGAAACTTGTGGTCATCGGAGCTGGCTATATTGGTCTTGAGATGGGTTCAGTTTGGGGAAGAATTGGCTCTGAGGTCACAGTTGTTGAATTTGCCCCAGAGATCGTTCCAACCATGGATGGGGAGATTCGCAAGCAATTTCAACGTGTGCTTGAGAAGCAGAAGATGAAGTTCATGCTTAAGACTAAGGTGGTAGGCGTTGATATCTCAGGTGATGGTGTGAAGTTGACTCTTGAGCCAGCAGCTGGTGGCGAGAAGACCACACTTGAAGCTGATGTTGTTCTGGTCTCAGCTGGAAGAGTACCATTCACAGCTGGACTTGGGCTTGACAAGATAGGAGTTGAAACTGATAAGATGGGACGAATTTTAGTCAATGAGAAATTCGCTACAAATGTGTCTGGTGTCTTTGCAATTGGCGATGTAATTCCAGGGCCTATGTTAGCTCATAAGGCAGAAGAAGATGGGGTCGCCTGTGTAGAGTTCATAGCTGGTAAACATGGTCATGTGGACTATGATAAAGTTCCTGGAGTTGTATACACTCACCCTGAGGTTGCATCCGTTGGAAAAACCGAGGAACAACTCAAGAATGATAATGTGCAGTACCGTGTTGGGAAGTTCCCTTTCTTGGCGAATAGCAGGGCCAAGGCAATCGATGATGCTGAAGGAGTTGTCAAGATACTGGCTGACAAGGAAACAGACAAAATACTAGGAGTTCATATTTTGTCACCCAATGCTGGAGAGCTCATCCATGAGGCAGTGCTGGCCATCAATTATGATGCAGCTAGCGAGGACATAGCACGAGTATGTCACGCTCATCCAACAATGAGCGAAGCTCTGAAGGAAGCTGCCATGGCAACCTACGACAAGCCCATTCATATCTAAAAAGCAGGTGTTACTTGCTAATTGTTTTTTATTTGAAAGAATTTCAAGATGAGTTTCGAAAATACTTTTCCATTTTGACATGGTTCTTTCTTGAAGCCTATATGACATGTTTGAATAGAATTTGCCCGCCCTTCATTTTCCTTTGTCTATGATGACAGTAATGCGTTCGCATTGTCTTGTAATCTGTTTGGTGAAATGAAATGCCTAATAATGACAGCACCAAAGGAGATAGTAATTCTAGACAAATTTTTGCCAAGTTGAATTATCTTTCCTGTAGCTGCCAAGTTTTGGCTTATGATTTCTTTACTATTGCTCTTTTTGGGTGATTTGATCTCGTGATCTATAAATATATGTATGTATATATGTGTTTTTAATCTCCATCCTTCACAGGAAAATTGGTTTTACCAGATTGATTTGATTTGGTTGTGGGTTTATGTCATTTATAAATTTTTAACTTAAATTTGTACAATTTCAACAAAAAGAAAAAGTTCATGGCAATGTTTAAAACAGTAAAAATTACTTTCATATGCTAGTCTGTGTGAAATAAAAAAAGTAACACATTTCAAATTTTATTAGACTAATTATCTTATAATAGAATTACATAATTTCTTAATTAAAACAAATATCAATTTTCAAATAAATGTTATGAATCCACCCATAATCTCAGAAATATCTTATGTAAAAAGAATATATATGTATATATATATTTGACAAAATTATCTGGAAATTCATGAAAATGGATTGTCCAAGAGTAAAGGTCCAAAACAATTCTGGGCATTGATGACATTCACTGTCAAATTTTGCAACATATCAAATGTCGCCAAGACTGTAGCAGGAGATGAATGGAATGGTAAATGACGCCAGAACAATTTAATATGAATCATGAAAGGAAAAAGGAGACAGAAGAAGTGAAATTTCATTCATCAAGCTGTAGCTGGTCCTGCCTCCAATGAACACCTTAGAAGGATAAATAAAACATTTAAACAGCTCTCTTATGTCTTCTCCTATCTTTGGCAGCTCCCGACCATTTTGTCTCTCTCTCTATTAAAAACCCCATGCCTCTCCTCCCAGTGAAAACAAAAAGCTCACTCCAAGTTTTCAATCATAGCCTATTTTTTTTCATGGCTCCTCACACATGTCAGGTCTCCTCCTGGCTTGTAGAGCCAACCGAGCATCCCTCTCCCTTTCAAATTCTCGGAGATCTGTTCGTTGCAAGAAGGAGACCTTCTCTAGATACTGGTTTGAGCTCTTCCTATAAGCACCCAATTCATCTTCCAGGCCTTTATTATCTTCCTTGAACTCTCCCCAGTCCTTCTTCGTCTTGTCAAGAACACTGAGTTTTGGTTTCTTTTTGATTTGTTCAAGAATGGCATCAACAGCTGAAGATGCAGGAGCTTTGGACTTTTCAGTTGCCTCCTTTGAGTCCGCATCAACAAGCTTTTTATATTCAATTTCTTGACCAGCAAAGTCCCGAACCTCAGTTATCTGCATCAGAAAAGACTCATTTTAGTCAAGAACCTGGTCTGGAAGTGTTAACTCTTTTAATTGCTTGGACAGTTAAAACAAATCAAATGGTCAAGCTGCAACTGATTTTCCTGTGAAGCAAATCAAATAGGCCAGAAAAGCAAAGTAATGAACTGTACAACTCAGGCAGTATCGGGAGTTTAAATTAGACAAACCTATGCCAATTTACGATGTTCATGTAATGTAAACCATCACTTAGTTAAGGCAGAAAATAATGTCAGAACCAAAAGGAGCAGCAACACACAAACAAAATGCACAATAAACAGGGCTAAAAAGTAAAGAAGCTAACCTCAATTTTCCCCTTGCCCAATGAAGTAACACTGGCATCTTTAACTGCTGAAAGGGCAGCAGCAGCAAGTTTCTTGGCCTGTTCACTGGCTCCATTCTGCATAGGCTCTTTCCGGAGCACGCCCTGTTCAAGGGATCCTACTTTCTTTGGTTCCAACCCCAGATACATCTTCCAATTCTATAAAACAGAAACAAGGAAGAATTTTGAGGTAACCATCTTCTTGACAATTGCCTAACAAACTGAATAAGGAAAGAAAATTCTCACCTCAGATACCTTCTCATTAGTTTTAGCATCAACAGTTGAACTAGGACTAACTGAGTATGATTTGACTCTCCTATTAAATCTTCCTTGATTCATTTCCTCCCACATTGCAGCAACACTCTTCGAGACACCACCAGAACCATTCTCAAAAATGCTAGACGATGTCTGTTCTGTTTCTTGCAAAGGTGCCAGACCAAGATATGCCATCCAGTTCTAAGAAGTAACAAGCTTATTAACTTACTTGAACCATAGAAAAACCATCAGCATGTAAGTCCATTCAGAGACAGAAAATAAAGGAGTCCTTACATTGGATCTCCTCTCAGACGTTCCATTCCTGCTTGATATATACTTGTTTGTGGTCGGTTTGCAGGTTATATTAGATACTCCTTTGTTCATTTCGTCCCATAGTGATTGCACCGAAGTTTTAGTCTCTAACAAAAATTAAAGAGGATATATTAGTACTCTCTGTTTATTGCCGTCACTAATGTTTCAATTTTTGAGAGGAGTCAATAACATTACTGTATATTAGAAAAAGTCTAAGAGTGACGCAGGAGTATTCAATAATCCATCTTTTTTGACACATACTCAACCAGAGGAAACAGAAATTTCACACACGAGGCTTACAAGAAGATGCACGTTATCACAGGACTTCAGTTAAGTTTTCAAAAATAAAGGGCCAAGAGAATGGACCAAAGTGTTTGATGAACTAATTTGAAAATTCCTGCCAGCCCATCATTTTTCTGTACATTCTGAAGGTTGCAGGGAAAAAAAGAATAGGAGAAAAAGGAGAAATACACCCAAAAAGTAAATTCCTCATAAGCTCCCTTATAGTGTTTGAATACTTGGGAACAAATTAAAAAATTTTGCTTCAATTGCATCTACCCACATTGCTACCTTATTCTGTAAGTCAATTATGCATCAAGCACCTGATAAAATCAAACGACTAACTCAACTCAATAATGTTAATAACGCCCACGAGATTCTGATATAAACCCTAGTTCTTACAACAAATGTTCATCCAACGTGATCAAACCACACAAGTTGCCCATACTTGTTCACTTCCCAAGCCATTCAGGACTCTTAGCATTCAATTTCAGATCATTACATTGGTAAACATCATGTAAAGCCCATTGCTTTTACCGCTATTTTCGGTATGCTTTTGACAAACTATCATCTTCCAAATTAACAAAAAAATATTTTGAACCCAATAGCCATATATCGAAGTTCGAAAGAACAATTTTAAGAAGTTCTTAAGCAAGAAAAAGAACCATAAGAAAAATTCAAATCCAATCAGACGAAAACTTCTTCATAAAAAAGGATCTTCTTGCAGGAGCCATTTACTGAGCAACCAAACAGAGCTTCAGAAAAAAAGGATAATTCATATAGTACAAAGGAAAGGCATTGTTACCTGAGGGATCGGGTCCGTTTTCGATATCCATAGACTAGAAAAGCTATATCGATAGAGCAAGCTCTCAAAGCGTGCTTCCTGAGGAAGTAAGATCCGATTCCAGCACAAGCTTCGACCACCGTGCTACGACACTTTCTTATTAATATATAAGAAAAAAAAAATGAATAAAGGAATTAAAAATTGTGTTTATCTGTAAATTGTGAGGGAAAACAATCGACTGAAATCTTTTTTTGAGGAAGACGAAAACCCTAGACAGATAGCTCATGGGAAGACGCGGAAGGACGGAGGAGGAGGAGAAAGAGAGGCATGTGATCGGACCGTAGCCAAACGGTGCGTTTCGATGCTGGATTTTTTGAGCAAAAAGGCCAAAAAAAAAACATATTTCTAAATTATTATTTCTAAAATTTATAATTTTAGTTTCAAATATCAACTTTATTTCTTTAAATTTTATTTTAATTTGTAGAAATTTTTAATTTGTCTTTAAATTCTGAATAGCGATATTTTTTTTTTGGGTTATATTTAATTTTTTGTTTTAGTTGTTTTATTTTTTGAAATAATTTATTATATTTTAATTTTTGAAGTTAAATTTTAAATTTCATTTAATTGAATTGTTCTCTTAATAAAAAAATAATTATATTATTATTAAAATATGTAAATTTTTATTAAAAAAATTAATATACCAGCCCTCTTAAAATTAACACAACATAGAATTTCTTAGAGGATCAGAGAAAATTCTGAGTTACAAACTAGAATTTAGGGTTTAGAACAGCAAAAGTAAAAATAAGAAGAGCAAGCCTGACTGACCATTGACTTTTTTGTATTTGCTCGTTGAGTAATGAGCTAAGTAAACGTATATATATATATATATGTGTGTGTGTGTGTGTGTGTGTGTGTATATGTGTTTTCTTTTTGCATGTAACCATTATATGCTTTAGACTATACTCAGACTTCCTGCAATATGTAAGCAGTCTATGACTGAGGCAATATATTCAACCTTCAGCCAAAACCACCATCGGTTAATAGATGATTATACAAGATCCCTTCGTATTTCTACAGCTTGGTAGATTCTAAACATCTAATAGCATGTTGGAATAACAGGAGGAGTAAGAAGAAGAAGAAGAGTGAGCCTAACTGATGATTGACTTCACTTGTATTCAATCCTTCAGTAATAAACAAGAAACGTTTCCGGGATTCTTACATAGTATGACGATTGACTTTACTAGTACTCAATCGTTTATCGATGAAGAGTAAGAAACTTAAAATACGGGATCTTTACATAGTGCCTTGCCCAAGAATCTCGAATCTCGAATCTCGAAAGCAAGAGAAGCTTTCCCATGGCAGAAATCAGAATTGTATGTGAATGAAATACTCGCAGCAGAATATATGAGAAGATGTTATCTATCTGCAATTAATTACAGAATTAACACTTAAAAAATAGATCTAGAGTGTAATAACAGCCTAATCAAGATCCTGAGACAGCTCAGCTATTTGGGCTGCAGTACCAGTCCTAACATTCTTCCTCTAGTTGAACCTTAATGGCAATGCAGTCAAACTCTCTTTGAGACAAATAACATGAACACACTGAAGGTTACACACACACACACGTAGACTCTTTGTATATAATCATTATATGTTTTAGACTGTAATTAGAATTCTGTAACATGTGAGCAGCCTATGACTCAAGACAATATCTTCCAACTCTGTCAAAACCACCATTTCCTCAGAGACGATTATACAAAATTCCTTTTGCATTCCTCCCGTTTGTTATGTTCTAAACGTCTAATAACATGTTAGATTTTAAACCAAAATGATGTAGTATGTATAATAACCCAACATATACATATATATACATATGTAGTAGTCATTGCAAATCCTCTTACTCCTGTTGATGTGAGATTATGGTCACTTGATACAAGTGAAGGATATCAAAGCAGATAGCTCACATGAGCAATATCTAGGCCAAATGGTCCGCAACAGTTTTCCTTGCAAAAGGAAGTTCAAGCAGGCATGAGGAAATTACTGTAACACACAAAAACTCCACATCGGTAGAGCTTGTAATTCCTCTTGCATTTCCACCCTTGTTAGGTTCTAAACGTCAAATAACATGTTAGATGTTAAACCAAAATGACATAGTGAGTAGAGTAATCCAACATAAATATACATATATATATGTAATAATCATTGCAAATCATCTTACTCTTTTTGATGCGAGATTTTATGGTCACTTGATACCAGTGAAGGATCTAAAAGAAGAAAGCTCACATACAGAGAGTGCATTCTGACAATTGACAAGTTAAAAGGAGGGGTAAGACTATGGTGAATTGGTGCTCCTTGTATAAGAAGACGGAGGAGACATGTAACAACTTACTACTTTGGTGCCTCATTCCTACACAGTTTGTGGTCTATGGCTTATGATTTGTCAGGTGTTATTTGGGTTACGACTGGTACGGTGAAGGATGAACTACGGGCTTGGAAGGGATTAGTAAAAGAGAAAAAATACTTGGAGCTTATTCCAATAGCAATATTTTGGGTCTTGTGGAAAGAAAGAAACAGAAGAGTATTTGAAAGGGGTGGATGAGGGTATTGACAAACTCAGAGAGAGAGAGTTTTAAAACCTTAGTTTTTTGGTTCTGGGTCAACATGGGCAGCATGTTGGGAGAACTAGTTGATATCCTTACTGATTCATAAATGATTTTGTATAAAGGTTTGCACCCTCTTGGTGCCTATACTTAATGATACATTTATACTATGTTATTTCAAAAAAAAAAAAGCAGAAAACTCACATGGGCAGCATCTAGGCCAAATGGTAAGCAACAGTTTTCCTTACAAAAGGAAGTTCAAGCGGGCATGAGCAAATTACTCCAACACCAGAAAAAAACTCCTTAACATCTGTAAAGCTTGTAATCATTATAAAAATTTTGCTTTAAATTCCAAGACCCTAATAATCGAATCCTTATTGGCCAAAGCCAATTAAGTAAAATGAAGCAAACAGACCCTGGAAAAAGATCACATTTTACATACTAGAATAATACAATTTATTCAAGCCTCCCTTAATCAAGACAACAAGGCTTTGGCATACAAGTGTTAAACCCCTTCACCAAATCAAACTAAAAAGAATCACATAAAACCCTCAAAAGGGAGTTTATCCAATTTATTCATTTTGCCTACTAATTACTCTCTCCTTCGTTATCCGTCTATTATTCAATGAAGCAGAAAGCAAACACCAATGGCAGAAAACCTGATAGATTTAGAATACCCTTTTGAATCTAGAAAGAAACAGTAGTGGGTTTGTAGTCAATCACCACAAATTTCTCCAGAACGGGCAGGAACAAATTGGCAAATTCAACATGCGCAGGGTGATCTATGTACTCAGCAATCCCTTCTGTGCTCTCGAAGGCGGACTCAAACACATGAGTGAAACCCTGATGCAGGTTCTCAATACTCACATCCTTCCCCCTATCAACAAACAGGGAAGATTTTTTTTGCTTAATTCATCTGGGTAAAGAAGAAATTCATGGAAAAAAGTGATTGAGAGAGAGAGAGAGAGAGAGAGAGAGAGAGAGAGAGAGAGAGTACCAGTGGAAAGATTTCATGGGTTCAATAAGATTGACGAGATTGGCGTACCCTTTGATGAGTTCATCGATTTGAGCAGGTAGGGTTTCTTCTTTGAACTTTGCCACCAATACGTGCTTCACTACTCCTTTCGCTTCCTCCATTTCTGCTACCTGGTAAGTATTGTTGACATACGTATTATATCATTATATATTTTTGGATGAATATTATTATATCACCTGATCTTGGAATCACTACTTGGGATTTGGGTGATCTAAATCAATAGAGCAGTTTTCAGTTGTGAAAGATAAACAATCAAAATATAAACCCACAAGAAGACGCAATTTCCAAAACTACCCAACTGGACTAAACAAAAGGACCCGATGTTCAATGGATTTGATCTGTTCAAGTTAAAAATTCTGAAAATTTCCAGTTTCCCAGTACAGAAAATAAAATATTATTTAATACCCAAAAAATTAATTTTAAAATTTAATTTGTAACTCTTTTAAAAAAAAAAAAATCTAAAGCCCTCTTAGAAATAATCCGGAACAGTACTACAAATAAACATAATTAATAAATTCCATAAATAAATATTTCTTCCTCAACAGTATATATCCAACAGTGAATTACAATATATCCAACTTATTTTTATTCTAAATTAATATGGAAATATATTGTTCCCATCAAAGGTTGGATTACAATATTAACATAATAAACTGTAATTCAAACAACACACAGACCACAATATTCAAAAGAAAATTTCAAAAAAGAAATTACACAGAGAATATATATATTTATATATATAATTATATCAATTAAGGCTCCATTGTTAGAAGCATAATTATTAGGTAATGAACTAGGCAATTAGTTTATGTTATTTAAGCCGCAGAAGGTGCCCTCCTGTGATGAGACACATCATTGTCATCAGCCTGCAACTGCTCTGCAATCAAGCTTCCAAGCTTTGCGTGGTCTGACATGGCGGCTTCGCTTATTATATTCTTGTAATCAAGAGATTCATCTTCATATATCTCCCACCATTTCTTCACCAGTGTCTTTATATCTTCCCTGTCCATATTCTCTTCTTTCCCAGTGTACCTCCATGGCTTCGATCCCTGCCCACGTACGGATATTAAACAACAGTTTATACCAGTCTTTCCTTCTATACATACACCTTATCATATATTTTATATATGTACATGTGTGTGTGTATATATATATATATTGTTGATGTAAATTAATTGTGCGAATATTTTGTGTAGATTTCAGAAAATATTATGGAAAACCTTAGAAAAAATTTAGATCTTATATATATTTTTTTTATTTCACTCTTTACTTTTGTGTATATTGAAGATTATTCTCTCAATATATATATATATTTATACATTCATGCATATGTAAATAATCAAATGTTAATAACTTACCGCAGCACAGTAATGAACAACTTTAACACGGTCCAAGTCAACATTTTCAGGGTGGCGCCACAGCATAGCCAGAACAAGATTGTAAGTAGGAGGAAGAGGCTTGTAAATACGGTTGAAGTACATGTTGAGAAAATCCTACAAAGTAATAATAATGTAATTAAATGTTCATAATTAAGTAAGTAATACAAGATTAGCGGTGTTAATTAATTATAAGTTTAGTTTAATTAATTACTTGCTCGGCAAATGAAGTGGGAGGGGTGACTCTGACGGTGTCCAGGAGGTCAACGTAAGTCAACAGATTGGGCTGGAAGACGAACATGCCGGCGTTGAAGTAGAGAGGAGGAGGCGGGCCCATGTGCGGTGGCCACTGGACTCTGTCCGGAGATTGTTGACAGTATCCGATTTTGTACTGGGGAGAGTGAGTCCATGTCTGCTCGCAGAAACAGTCCATCACGGCGTAGAAGAAGCAGTTCTCTAAGTCAAAGAGATGGTCAATGTTATCGAATACTTGGATATCTCCGTCCAAGTATATCATCTTCTCGTACTCCACGAACTACCAAACACAGCAATGTTATGTATATATATATATATATATAGAGACATATGCACTAACTTCTTTATTAACATACAAATTTATCCACTAACCCACTAATTTCTCTAATGAGAAAATTTATTATTTACTTTACCAAATTAAATTATAATAGACGATAAAATTGAAGAACATGTACGTAACTTTAACAATATTTAATGAAGCTACCATTCTGTATCTGCTTATTTATATGTATATATATGTTGATGGGTAAACATATAAATATATCTAAAGATATAAACACGAGCATGGAATGTATGTATAAGGATATAATGTCAAAAGCCTACATGCCATGCAACACGTGGACTCAAGATCCTATATAATCAACCATGTATGCACGGCGTATAAAAGTGAATGCATGGCTTATAACTATTAGTTGCGGGAAATTAATATGCATATGTCGTCTATACATATCTGCCAAAACCCACCTTCCCGAAGAAAGTCCAAATTATACCAAGTGGGTAGAAGTCGACAAAGATATATATGTATATAGACTGCTATAATATCCATGCATATATGTACATATGGGTATGTACTTATATCTATCCATATTTAACCTCTAAAATATTACATATATTTATTTTTTGAAAGGCTTATATCTATGTATATAGCGTCAAAAAGGGTAAAGACTACATGCTATATTACACGTGGATTCTTAACAGCTTCGTATATAATCATACGACCTACTCGCCAATTATCATTAATGCATGGCTCGTTAATAATGGCGGCAAACATGCGTAAAACTAAAACTATAAGATACATACATATAGAGTACAATTACACATAACGCATACTATTATACATAGAAACCATATATATGTATATATATATTATAAAATGGTTTACCTCCCAGATGCGAAGTTTGGAGTAGTTGATGACATAGTAAGCCATGGCGAACTGCGTCTGGTTCTCTGGAGGATAAACAGGCTGGATCTCTCGAACAACGCAGCCCTGAGATTCAAGAATCTGGCGGTGCTCCTCCGGCACGTCGGGCAACACGGCGACGACAAGAGGGTATTCAGACTTAGCCTTCCTCAAGCCCTTGGCCAAGCCCACCACGCCTTTCACGTAGTCTCCATTGCCTGCCAGGAAGGTCACGTACGCCATCTTGGGTCCGGTCAGAGCTTGCTGCTGCCCATCGAGAGTTGTCGGAGACATGGCGAGATTGCTAGTCGGCTCAGAACAGAGACAAGGCAGGTAAAAGAAAATGTTGCGGAAATTAAAGAGGTGTGGCAAAGTGTTGGAGGGTTTTTTTTTTTGAGCGGTGTGTTGAAGGTTTAAGATTGTGGGTGTTTATATAAGGAAATGGAAATGGTGGTGAGGATGGGAGAGGAATTGATTTGGGATCTGGTGTTGCTTGATTCTTTTTCTCATGGAGTTTTCAGAGAGTTCTTTATACACGTGGTGGAGAAGGAAGGAAGGACACTTGCCTTTGTTTTGGAAGATGACACGGCGAAAGCAGTGTTTCTTTAGGTTGCAGGGTATGATTCAGTCACCACTTGTTTAATTGTTTGGAAATAATATATAAATAATGGTGGAATTCACTGCTCAATAAGCATATTATATCTAACAATTTTCGAATTACAATACATAATTTAGTATAATCGAGAACTTAATTCGCTAATCTGTTAATAAATTTATAGTAAATAAATTAAATTTTAGCCGTTGATGTTAAGTCGATCGACGGCTGTGACTTTGTTCTGTAAATAAACAGTCGGTGGTGCGGATAGGGTTGAAGAAGTGTAATAAAGCAGAGAAAGGAGACAAATATTGGACGTTTTTGGCGTAAGCATGACGTGGCACAGAGGACTGCCACGTGGCACTGATGCAAATAAAAATGTGTATGTATATATATATATATATATTAATTTTAATTGAAGTAAAAGGTGGTATGAAGAGAATCAATCAGAAACGAGGACGAAGTTGGAAGGTTCCACAAATGACTTGTGCATGTATATACACATATACACGCTTACAAAAACATATATACATATATACATACATATACATATATATATATATATGTATATACGTATACACGTGTCATGTCGTTTTGCTGGCTGAATATTATGGAATCAGTTTTCTTTGAAGGTTGTCGTTTCAAACTTCTTATAGTGCATGGGGTTATAAGTAATGCATAGAATCTTTTGACGAACACACGAAGAAAGCCGCGATAAAGAATCATATCATGCATCGAGTGGATCCCATTTAACTTTAGCTCATATATTATACATACACACACACACACACACACACACATATATATATATATAGATATATATGTTGTAAGTAAGAACTGAATTGAACTCTCTTAACACGCGCGCGTGTGTGTGTGTGTGTGTGTGTATATATATATGCTCTCAAATATGTCTGTTACTAGTTAATGTTCGAACAACATCATTATTAAATAAAAGAACATACATATATATATAGGCGGTATAATATATATATATATATATATATTTACGTACATATTATTATCACCAGCATTATTAATTGGTGAAATAAAAAATGTTATATGATTTATATATATCATTTTCATCTTTATTCCTGATGAATCCAAAAACATGTTCATCGTGGATTTCTCTCCTTTTTTTTCTTGTTTTTTTCACTTTGTCTTTTAGATTATATATATATATATATATATATATATACACCCATATACATATATAAATATATATATATATATGTGTTATTTATTCTTGATTCCAAACATTGTATATCTGATCCACGCATCTCCTAACTCATAGAATTCAACTTTATTCTTGTATATACTCTTTATTCTTTCTTTCCCAAAATAAAATGGAAAGAACAAATAAATTTGTCTTTAAACATGATGAATCTCCCAATCGACGAGTCTCAAAATCTAAATCGATTTTTCGGGTACAACGATCTTAGAAAATTTCGTAATTAGATCAAATTTCAACTCGTACTTAACCGAATAAAATTGTATATACAATATGTAATATAAAGAGGGTTTTTTTTTTTTGGTTAATTTAGAATATCTTAAATTTCTTTAGTTGTAAATTTTCTAAAACATGTATATGTATGTCATTACATTCTTTATATAAATTAATTGGTACTTTCGTGAGTTCTTAATTTGATTTAAATCTTGTTTTTAATTAGTAGATAATGGGCAGTTAATTTAATTAAGTTTAGTGGCTTATTGATTTTGGTTTATGTGAATAATGAGATTTAATTAATTGCTAAACAAACTTTTTTTTTTTGGGGGTGTGTCCAAAAATATCATCTCTTTCACAGATTCTACCTTCTTTTCTTCGCGTAACTGCTGCCAACAACTCCACAAATCTCCCTCTACCAACAATAATTCTAACCTTTATATATATATATACACACACACACACCCATGTACGTATTCATGTTTCCAGTGACGACAAAAGTAATGGGCTAGCGTAATACGAAATTTTCAGGCATTAAAATTTCATTATACATATACATTCAATACAGGATACATATATGACATTTCATTACTAAAATTTTAGGATAACAAAATTTTCAATTCATTTAACTAGGTATATTCATTGATTATATGATATACATACACTAACCGTGTTATAACACAAATAATTTTGAAAAAATAATGAGAAAAATAGAGGTGTGTTCCGATCAAACTCGCGAACTATTCATAGAAAAAAATAACATATCAATCGTTAAGGTAAAAAATAGTTAGTTATACGATATTAAGTTCGTACATGAATGTTAATACTTACGGACTCAATAGAAAGTAAAATTACCAAATCAGCAATTTCTTCATTTCTGTAGATTACCAGAGAGAAAAGAAGGATAAAAAAGTGGGGAAAAAAGGGCGACCCACGAGGACGAGAAGAGTGCGAAACGCATGGCAGACGAGGAACAAACGACAACACAAGCAACAGCCAATACACCAATAAGCAAACAAGAGACCGAGAGTAAATCAACTATTAGGCTTTGGGGGGGGGGGGGGAAAGAGTTGCAGATATAGAGAAGTAGTAAATAAGCTACAGCAATCTTTTTACAAAGAAAAAAAAAAAATTAATGTTACAAAAACTTAAAAAGAGTTAATCAAGATTCATCAGCAGAGGGAACATCAGTCAGATCCAAACCTTCTGCTGGCAAGTCTGATGTCAATGGACCCAATATCCCATCAGAGCTGAGACTTAAGCCGCTCTGCAAATTTATGTAAAGATATCAGAATTTTGTTGACAACCCTCTGCCTCTCTTTCTCTAAGAGCTTATACTTTGAATTCCCTTTTTCTATTTTTGGAGAAATTTTCTTACCGTCTTTTTTTTTTTAATTTATCCCAGTCTGAACTTAATATTTTTAAGGAAATTATAATTAGGAGTACCTCGGGCTGGAAGCGGAGCATGTCAGCACGAGCCATGGCTTCTGCCTGAGCAATTCTCTGCCTGAATGTCTGAGCCATTTCCTCGGCCTGTGAGGACAGAAACACAAAAATGAATGCATGGATAAATTGTTATGTAACTGAAACTATCTGGTTTGCGTTTGATTCAATTCCTATTCTGTTCTCATCTGATTCCTACCCCTAACTTCGTATTAGTCTTGACATGTAAAATAAAGTTTTAGTTTATATGTTTAATTTCATTCTTTGCCCTATCTTGAATTCTTTTAAGGAATTGACTATAATGAATTAAAATCAAACATAAACATGTCAGAATGCTAAATGTTCAGAGTAATGTGAAAACTAGAGACAATAATTAAGTAGAAATGAAATGAGAATTGAAGCAAACCCATCGTCAGCATTAGTGCATCTTTGTTCTCTATTGTTTGAACCATGACCAAATTTAAAGCACTCGATTTGGACTACCGTAACAACAAAGCATAATTGACATTATTGCTTCCAATAATTGCTGATAAATGCAGCTTTGAAAGATGGTTAGGTTCAAGAATTTACCTTCTCAAAGACAAGCTTTGGATTGCGAATCATATCTCCAGGAGTAGGCTCTAACTTCTTCGTAGACAGACTCACCCGGCCTCTTTCTCGGTCATGGCTCAGTATCATGACCTACAATACGAGACTTGGCTCATGAATTATCTCAAAAAAATAGTTCCATGTGAAAAAAGTGATAATAATTCTCACCAATATCAAACATAAATTGTTGTAGCATACCTTGAGTGTATCACCAGGCTGAAGAACAGTTGCAATATCTGACACACGATCATGACTGATCTGACTGACATGAAGAAGGCCATTGATTCCACCAATGTCAATAAAGGCACCATATGGTTTAAGGCTCTGAACAGTTCCAAGAACCACTGATCCAATCCCAAGCTGGGCCTGGCTGTCCGCCACAGCTTTGCGGTTACTGAGCACAAGCCTAGCCTGTTCCTCATCAACCTCCACAAACTTCAGAGGCAACTCCTTTTCAAGAAGCTCTTCTGCCGTTGATTTCTGATGAGTAAATAACAAAAAACATTGACAAAATCTTAGACATATCTAGTGATAAAACAATTAAACACAAATTACAAACGAAGGACAGACAATTTGAAAGAACAAAGCATGACTCATCATTCTTAGTAACAAGAAAAGAATGATTGACAAACTCTAAAAAATAAGTAAATTGGAACATAGATTGCACATACAAGATGGCCCATAGTTCCTTTTGTTACAAATCAATATGCTAATAATATAACAATCAAAACCATTTGGCTTGAGAAAACATTCTTGCGCTAACAACGGTCCAGCCCACTCATTGATTTGAGATAGAGAGCAGAAAAAGGATAAGTAATATTTCTCCTTGTTTATAGATGAGTACAAATGTGCCACCTGATTTTGATAATTTATGATGCACGAGGTCTCACAAATCATTCAGTCCTGATGCAAATTCATTTTTCTTTTTCCCAATTTCAATTATGAATAAAAATCTGAAAGAAACAAGAATTAAACTTAAAATTACAAACAATACTGAAACTAGGCCAGGGGGCGCACACATCACTTTTAATGACAAGAAAAGAATGATCCATAAACTTAGATTGAACATACAATGATACAGATAAATGTGCTAAGAATATGATAATCAAATCCATCTGAATTGAAAAAAAAAAAAACAACAATCTCGTGCTAACAAACGGTTCAACATTTACTCATTTGAGAAAAAGAAAGAAAAAAGGACAAGTAATATTTCTCCTTGTTTATAGATGCTCGAAAATATCACCTGATTTTGATGATTTATGATGCATGATTTTTAAGGAGTCATGTAGTTTTTATAACTTGCTGCAATCTTATTTTTCTCTTTCAAATTTCAATTACTAGTAAAAACTCTATTAGAAAATAAATAGCCTTGATCCAATAAAAGCTGTTTAAAGCACGGATTGCCTCTATTAAAAATTATAAGTGATCATGACAATTCCAAGATGAACTTCTGTCATTTATGCAGGCTGCATCCAACAGGAGATTTAAATATTAAACAATAGCCACTACTAGAAATCTGAAACAGCAAGAACAGAGCCTCGACATTATTGAAGCAAGTTATAGAACTAACCGTTGATATTTGCGAGAAAGGAACAAACCCTCGAATGCCCTCCACTAGAGCCACAACTCCACCCTTGTTTGCACCAACCACCTACATAGATATTCCAGTCAGACTCATCACTTTAGCAGATTGTCCAATAATGGAACAAATTAAGTACCAAATCTTAGAGGAAACTGTAATGAACAAGATATTCATCGAACCATCCTAATAACTTCAATTTGTTTCGCCTAATTTTTCTTGTATAACCAAAATGCAGCACAAATTAGAGGATAAGACAAGTGCAAATCTGTGATATTTCATCCATACCCACCTTGCCCTTCACAACAACATCCTCAGCCTGAAGCTGCCGGCATCGTTCCCAGGAAAGTTCATACTGGATCATCCGCAAGCTCAGAATCAAACTATCATCAGCATCATTTTCACCAATTATGACAAACTCCTCCCTCAAACCAGGAAATATACCAGCTTCCGCCACATGCTTAATTCTATGAATGCAAGCCTCCTGAACTGGCAAGTAAGCTGAAGATTTTGCAGTAATGTCAACTAATGCTCCATTTGCTTCAGTTCGAAAGACTGTCCCCTTCACCTGAAACACAAAATCACACATTTATTTACACACGCGATCTTCATCAGGCACTAATTCCCCGTTTGCACGAGCAAGAAGAACAAGTACACAGCTTCATGGTAGCAATTCGCATTTCCTATTCTCAATTCCGTGGAAACTGAAGAGCAGAAGGAAAGAAAATAGAGAATACGGGGATAAACCTTGGTGCCAAGCTCAGAATTAAAGTCGTACTTATCGAGAGCGTTGTGGAAGCTGTCGAGAGTGAAGGCGACGCCTTCCATAGGGGCAGTGCGACACCGTTCGTAGGCTTCCTCGAAAAGCTCCTTGAGCTTCAGCCTCTCTCTAGTCTGCGCATTTGATATTGCTACGGCAGATACTAGGGGGAAGGCAACAGCGGGCTTTTGTTGGGTAAAACTCTTGGCTTGTTTCTTGGATAAACGCGAAGACGAGAGAGGCGGGCATCTTAAGCCCGTGAACTGCTGAGCTAAAGACGCCATTTTTTCTCTATCCTCTGGCGTCTAGTTTTGGTGGATTTCTGGTTTGAGTCGGATAAGGCAAGAGAGAGCCGAGGAGATGAGAGAGAGACGGGAGAAATTATACGCTACGCCGCCACTCGCCATGTCAGCAATCATCGTCCAATCAGAACGTGACACATCAGCAATAAGTTTTTCGATATTAAATAAATTTTATTTTCTTTGTTTTCTTGACTAGGTAAATTTGGACCAATTTTCTATGATCTGATCATCGTCCATGATCGTGGATTTCCTACTTCATGATCAAAGGGGTGGTCATATGTATAGATGGATATATAAGTGTGGGTTTAGTAGCCCCTGTAACTCACTTCACAATCCACTCTCTCCCCAAGTGGGTGAAAAAACACATTCAATAAGCACTTGTCAAATCACCCGTGTGCTGAGAGAAAATGAATTGGCTTCTCAGAAATACATACATATATATATATATATATATATACACACACACACATGTATTTAGATTATGTTCAGAATAGACCAATAGTTTTTACAAAATCCCTTTAAAATCTATACTTAATTCATAATTAACAGAAGAAAAAAATAAAATTAAAACAGTACATTCTAAATTCTTCAACTGTAAAAATAGTCCAGTCTTGTCCGACATGTACACCTTGGAAGTTTGAAACTAGTACGAAGCACCCATTTGCCACATTGATTTTTTTTCCTCTTTTTTACTCAAAATTCTGCTCCGTGCGTATAGGTATATGGGAGAGAGGTTCATATCAACAAACTCCTAAGAAATACCAGGGCTAGCTTTCTTCTTTGCTGGTCTTTTTGCCTTTCTTTTGCTTCTGCTTCAGTTGAGTTAGACCAGCAGCTGTGATCTTCACGTTACCAATTATGGCGGCAACCAGTTCGGGATCGGTGCATGCCTTCATCAATTCCTTCTCCCTGTTTGTTGCTTCCGACATATGGCTAAACAAATTCATGGCAGTTTTTGCAGCTACAAAAAATTGAAAAGGAAGAAGTCAGATCCACAGTGCAGTTTTTGTCTGCATTTTTTACTGTATTAGAGCTGAGAAGCTAAATGAAGCTGCGCGTGCACGGTGTAACCCGAATAAAAACTGTGTTAACAGAATTTTAGTCACTGCTATTTTACTTTCCAAGTGTCAAAGAAAAAGCATGCATACCTTTTCCTTTCTTTGCGGAGCCAGGAATTATCTTCACTCGGTATTTGTATGACTGCAGTGCACTGTAAGGACCACAAACAGGCACTGCATATAAGAGAATATCACTGGATAGTGGATTCCCTGTCAGGTAATCCATGTCATTTAGTCTCCCTTTCTCGTCTTCGCATATCTCATTAACATCCTCCTCCTCCATGGCCGCCCTGTCCATCTCAGTAAGATCATCTGGAGCCGCACGCACATCATCTCCAACTCTGTTATTTACATGTTCATGTGAAGAATCATTTGGATGTTCTTGACAATCTCGGGAAAGGTGACCTGCCTTTTTACATTTGTAACATATTTTCGGAGCATCTACAGGACCTGCCAGATTTTAGAAATTAAAAATAGTAATGACAGCAGCAGTTTCAAGTAAAGTTACTAGAAAGGGAAAAAGGACACGGTGATTTCATGCTTTAGTACGAAAT